CGGGCCCGAGCGGTGCCTGGCTGGTTTTGGGCTGGGTTTGGAGCTTTTGGGGTTTTTTTAAAATTATTTCTTTTTTTCCCCCTTTTTTTTGTTGTTCTGAGGAGGATTCCCGGCGGGAGGCAGCGCAGAGCAGGTGTGATGTGGTTCAACAAGTGAAGTGTGGCAAGGGAATGAGGCAAAATCTGCTTAATTATGTAAAAAAAACCCAATCTGCTTAATGAGGCAAAAATAATTCTAAAATAGGCAATTCTTTCTTCCTTTCCTTCTCCTTCCCTCCAGACCTTCCCCATGGCACCATGGGGATCCCCATGAGCTGGCAGCTCCAAATACATGGAGGCCACCCCAGTTTTCTGCTAAATCCTTTAAAATTTGACCAATTTTCCCATTCCCAGCCATCAGACCTTGGGTTTTCCTTGGAATCCCCGAGCTCTGCTTGACGGAGGAAGTTTCCCACGTGCGGGGAGTTGTGGGATGAGTGTGGGAAGGAGGTTAATTAGTGGGAAGCGTCATTATTCCAGGAGGTTTCGTGTTGATACTGAGATTACACACCCTGTTGCAGTAATAAGTTTGCTTGGAATCATGGAATTGCAGAACATCCTGAGCTCGAAGGGATCATGGAGCCAAACTCCTGTAACTTTTTTAGTTCTTTTAGTAACTTTTAAATTGAGATTTTCTATTGCAAGCTGAAATTCTTTATTTTTGGGGGGGAGCTGGGGGGTAAGAGGGTTTTGAGTGCATATTGTGATTTTATCCTGGTGTTTTTAGGAAGGAGCTGGAGCTGTGTCAGGAGGGGTTTAGGTTGGATTTTGGGAAAGGTTCTTCCTGCATGGGAATGGTCCCAGCCCTGAGGCTGCCACAGCTCAGGGAGACACAGGGTGAGAATTTGGGGTTGTCCTGAGCAGGGCCAGGAGCTGGATTTGATCCTTGTGGGTCCCTTCCAGCTCAGGATATTCTGTGATTTAATTAATGGGGCACATCAAATGGAATTGGCAGCATTTTCCAGGTGATTACCCGGTGTTTCACCTGGTTTAGAGCCTCCAGGATCAGGGACACGTTGCTTGTGTGTGTTTGGGGTGTAAATTTTGGTTTAGAAATACAGTTCTGGGAGTAAAGGGCAGGATTCTGTGCTGCTCAGCGCTGCTAAATGAGATTGAGGGACTAGTATGGAGTTAATGACTCCTCAATCCCTCATTTCACCCCAGTGTGGGACTCACCACAGCATTTGGGATATCTCTAATCAGGGAGCAGTCCGTTCCAGAGAGGAACTGTGCATGGGCTCATTCCATAATCACCCAGCTGATGGAGGATTTTTCCTTGGAAGATGAAGTTCTCCTGTTATCCTGGAGGAGTTTCTTGGGTTCCCAGGCAGCAGAGCAACTGATCTCTCACATCTTGCTGGTGTTAAATCAAATTATTGACTTGTGCTGTGGGCTTTAGACATCTTTTTATTTCAGATATGATGTTTCTTTGGCAATATGATGACTTTTTAAGTACTGAAAGTTCTTAGGTTTTTAGGTTGCTAGAAAGACTTGGAATATTTGAACCAGATTCACGTCGAGTTCTCTGTAGTAGGGCCTGGGGTGACACTGTAGGATTATGGAATCCCAAATGGTTGGGGTTGGAGAGGACCTCAAATCCCACCCAGAGCCACCCCAGCCATGGCAGGGACAGCTCCCACTGCCCCAGGCTGCTCCAAACCCATCCAGCCTGGCCTTGGGCACTGCCAGGGATCCAGGGACAGCCCCAGCTGCTCTGGGAATTCTATCCCAGGGCCTGCCCACCCTGCCAGGGAACAATTCCTGCCCCAAGATCCCATCCAGCCCTGTCCTCTGGCACTGGGAGCCATTCCCTGGCTCCTGTCTCTCCCTGCCTGTTTAAAAAGTCCCTCTCCCTCCTTTTCCTGTGGCTCCACCATCCCTGCAGGAGATGCTGAACCCAACAGCTCCATGGGGTTGGGAACGTGCTCCTTCCCTGGACACAGCTTCCCAAATCCCAGTGTATCCCTCTCTGAGTGTGCTCTGTTGCGAAAGCAAATCCATATTGCTGCAGAAATCCTTGGTGCAGCCCCATAAAATCCTCCCCTCCGCCCTTTCCCTTTGTCCCCTTTGCCAGAGCAGAGATCACTGCAGGGGGCGGAGGGAATCATTTCCAAAGGTTTATGGTTATCAAGGGAAACACCAGCACAGCCTTGGCCGAGCCACGGAGCCCTGTTCCAGGGAGGATTGAGTTGCTGCAACTCCATCTGTGCTTACACAAACCATGGGAATGGGGGGAAGGCTGCTGGCTCCTGTGTCCTGGCACAGAAATATCCCTGTGCAGGGGCAGGAATTGGAGTGCAACTCCATTGATTGGGATGGAACACCCCCAGTTCTCGAGAGACTCGTTTTTTCTTGGAAAATGGGAGCTGCAGATGTTTGGTGACCCTTGGGATTCCTGCACTGCTGGAATTGTGCAGCTGTGTGGTGAATTTTGCAGTATTACACAGTTTGGGCTGATTTTCCCAAAGCTCAGTGTTCATCCTGCCCTCGGTGTCAGGAGCTCAGGACCCACATCATTTCTGCTCTCAGGAACAAGCTGGGAGGGAATTGGGAAGGGTGAGACAACACTGCTGACACGAGCAGAAAGTTTCCATTCCGTGTTTTGTGAGGATTGATGAGAAAGAAGTGACAGAAGTCCTCAGGGTGACTGGGCTGTGGTGGGATTCTCCCTGGGATCTTAGGGAGGGAGGTGGGGGTGACACGTGGCTCTGGGGGATCCAGCATTCCCAGGAGATGTAACATTCCTCACTGGGGAGCTGCTGAACCCCTTCCAGCCTGGTGGCCCTGGGGAGGAGAGGATCCACTCCTGGAGCTGCTGGGAGGAAAGGCTGGGAGAGCTGGGAATGTTCACCTGGAGAGGAGAAGCTTTGGGGTGACCTCAGTGTGGCCTTGCAGGACCTGAAGGAGCTGAGGAAAAATGGAGACAGACTTTGGACAAGGGATGGGGAGACAGGACACAGGGAATGGCTGCCAGTGCCAGAGGGCAGGGCTGGATGGGATCTTGGGCAGGAATTGTTCCCTGGCAGGGTGGGAGGCCCTGGGATAGAATTCCCAGAGCAGCTGGGGCTGCCCCTGGATCCCTGGCAGTGCCCAAGGCCAGGCTGGATGGGTTTGGAGCAGCCTGGGACAGTGGGAGCTGTCCCTGCCATGGCTGGGGAACAGAACAAAATGACTTTTAAGATCCCTCCCAACCCAAACCAGTTAGGATTCTCTGAAAGCCAAGGCTTGGGGTTCAGTGTGCCCCAAATCCCTGGAGCCCCAGGCAGCGTGGCTGGGGGTGGATCACAGCTTTGGGATGTTCCTGGGCACCAGCAGCCGAGTATTTTTAGTTGTGTTCCTTTGAATATTTGGTAAAACAGGCAGCGTGTTTATATTCAGCTTCCTGTGTCCGTATCAGCGTCTTGGCATGTGATGGAGTTCCAGAGGGAGGAGGGAAAGGGAAAAAAGTGTGTTGTGAGGATTATTTGTACTGAGCAGCTGAGGCCGGCAGGACGTGGCCGCTGGGATCAGCTCCTTGTTTAAACATTCTGCTCAGCTCAGGCAGGAGCCAGCCTTGCTTCCCCTTTTTTTTACCCCCTTTGTCTTCCCATCCATTCTCCTGTGTCTTTCCAAGCCTGCTGTGCAGGGACAGGGTTTATTTTTTGGCACACTTTGTTTTGGGATGTGTGACCCCAGCCTTCCTGCCCGGCTCTGACGTGCAGCACCAGCTCTGAGCCCTGGCTCTCTGGGTGGGTTTTATCCTCCAGTGTGGCTCTCCGGGGTGTTGGGAGGTGGAAATCTCAGTCCTGCTGAGAAGGGAGCAGCCTGAATTCCCAGCCTGAATTCCCAGCCTGAATTCCCAGCCTGCATTCCCAGGCTGCTGCTCTGTGCCATCCCCCTTCGCTCTCCAGAGCTGTTCCCTGTGCAGAACCAGTGGGAGCACATTTTGTCTGGTTTTCCCATCCAAATGAGGGCTTGCCTTGTGCCCAACCTCCCCCAGAGCACATAACCAGAAGGTTTTCTGGTGCTTTTAAGCTGAGGAGAGAAAATTCTCCCTCCCAGTTTGCAAGAGAACGCCAAGGGGATGCCCTGGGACCCAGCCCTTGCTGCCTGAACCAGGGACACATCAGGGACTGGTGGTTATCACAGAAAGGGGAAAACAGGACAGGTTTGGATGAGATTTTGGGGATAAATCCCTCTCTGGGAGGGTGGGCAGGGCCTGGCACTGTCAGGGGGTTTGGAGCAGCCTGGGACAGTGGGAGCTGTCCCTGCCATGGGTGGGATGAGGTGAATTTTGAGCTCCCTCCCTACCCAAACCAGTCTGTGATTCTGTGGTTGCTGGGAATAATTTTGAGCAGATCCCAAATGACATTTGCAGCTCTGTTTGTAGCTTCAAGACCCCTTCCAAGGGCAGGGATTTTGGGATAAGCAGAAAGTGTCCCTGGCTTTTATGGGAGAGGAACCATCCATTTCCCAGCTGAATCTGGTTCCTGTTGCTGTAGAACTTGCGTGGGATTCCTCCTGCAAAGCAGGGATGCTCCAGCTGGAACTGGAACTCCTGCAGTGCAGGAGGACCTGCCTGGTGCTGCCAGCCTTGGCCAGAGGCACTGGGACCCATCCAGCTGTGGAATTTCCTCATCCCACGTGCCCTTCCCTGATTTATTCCTTCCCAAGCGTGGCCTGGCCTCTGAGCGGAGGCTTTTGCAGGGGGTGCATTACACCAGCCTCAAACTATGCCAGCAATGCTGGCTTTGTGGGTTTTTATGGCTGCTTTGATAGGAGCTTTGATTAGGCAGGAATATCATCGTGGCTCTGGGGTGGAGGGCAGCCCCAGGAGCTGGAATTACTCCTCAGATGCATTAAAGATGGGCTTGGACTGGCTGAGCCCTGAAGGTCTCTCCCAACCCAAACCATTCCGTGTGCTCCGTGGTTGTTTTGACTGTGTTTTCATCCCCCTCAGGATGCAGGAGTCAGTTCTAAATTTCTTCTCATTTTTCCCTGACAATTGCCAGGGGGTGTGAGCTGATTTGGATATTGCACAGATAAGCAGAGCAGCAGCTTTTCCATCCCAGCTTTGATTTTGTGCAGCGGCCGCACGTCCGTGGAGGAGGTTACGTGTCCCATTTATTTATTTTGCTTTCCCTGCTGGATGTGGACAGGACAAGCCTGGCACAGGGACAAGGACTGTGGCAAGGCAGACTGTCCTTAACACAATTTATTTTCCTCCTCCACACAATGATTTGAGCAGTGTTCATTAAAAGCCTGATCCCGTTTCCAGCAGGGGATTATAACGGGAATACTGTGCTGCCTGTCCCCTCTGTGCCTTGCTCAGGACCAGCCCTTGGGAATTTCAGGTGGGTTTTTCCCTCCTTGGGAATGAGGGAAGGGGATGGCTGTGCCAGAGCTCCACCAGCCCTTGGCAGCTGGAGCTGGGATTCATTCCAGTGGCAATCCCGGATGCGGCCGTGCCCTGGCTGTGCCCGCTGCTCCTGATCCCAGTTCCACGATGGGGCTCTCTGCAGGGCTGGGAAGCTGCCCTGGGAGCTGCAGGGAATTGCCAGTCCCTGCTGGAGGTGCTGGAAGCTGACACATCTGTTTGCACACCTGTGTGTGAGCTGATTGTGCAGCCCTCGGGATCCTCACAGCAGCACAGCCAGGAGAAGGAGAGCAGAGATGGTTTCTCTTGTAAATCCTCTCCCTGCTCACAGAATTCCCATCACCTGATGGTTTTCATCACCCTCACAGAGCTGGGGGTGCTCACCCGGAGAGGAGAAGGCTCCAGGCAGAGCTCAGAGCCCTTCCAGTGCCTGCAGGATTTGAGGACTGCCACCATTCCAGGTTTCTTTCTGGGTGTGTAAGGCCTCCATAGGGAATGTGAGCTCTCAGATTTGTTCAGGCAGTGATTTAAACCCAGCTGTGAGAACCCATCACTGGAGGCTGACAGCTCTGAGTCTCCAGGGACAAAGTAACCCTGGAATGGTTTGGGTTGGAAGGGACCTTAAATCCCATCCAGTCCCACCCCCTGCCATGGGCAGGGACAATTCCCACTTCCCAAGCTGCTCCAGGTTTGAGGAATTGAGATTTTCCAATCTCAAAATATGATTTTTGTGCATTAAACCACAAGTGCCAACCCATCCTCCCCCAAGCTTTGGCTTTCTTGCACTGTAAAATCCTTATAATTTTAATTTTATTCTTGTTTCAGGATCATTGCACTGATAAAATCAAGGCAAGCTGGTCAGGGAGCAAGTCTGCCTATGTAGGTGAGTTTCCAGTCCACTCTGGTTCTTTTGTTTCATGCAAAATGCAAAGCAGCACGACAGGTCCCAAACCCTGGTGATTTAATTTTATTCTGGAGCAGAACAAATATAAAGTCCTTGGCAGGATTGCTGACACTTTTCACCTCATTCTTTTAACTGCCTGACTGCTCTTGTGATGAATTTAGGGGGCAGAAAACCTACTTTTCCCACAGAAATTAAGGTTTTCCTTGTTTATTCTCCTGATTAGGAAGGACCAGCCTGCAAATCTTCATCATTTCTGTCTTTGCTGTGCTACCTGTATTTTGTTTGTCCATCAAAAAATGCAAATTATTCTATATTCCCTCCCTCCCATCCTTAAAAATAGGCACCTGGATAAATTCCTGCAGCCAAGGAGGTGAAATCCTTCCCACCTTTGCAGTTCTTGGAGCATCCTGAGCCAGCGTCCTGGGCTTTATCTGCAGCAGACAGAGAATCTGCTGAAGGTCACAGAACCTGGGGCCAGGCTGCATCCCTTGACTGAGCTTTCAGCACTGCCCTCTCCTGATTTTCAGCCTCTTTTGGCATTTTCAAATGTCTCTTTGGAGTTTTTCCCCTTTTTTCCCAGTGGGAATGAGGAGCAGGGACCTTCTTTGGAGAAACTGCCCTGCAGCTCGTTGCCTTTTCCAGTCACTTCAGGCTGGTGTCTTTTAAAATAACGCTGCTCAGATGTTTTTCAAAGTAGCCTTGATCTAAAGTCACTTTTTGTGTGAGCTAAAGGTACAAAAAGTGAAGGCAGAAGGAATGCAGAGGAAAGAAAAAGCAGGTTTTTCCACTGCTCCTCACCCAAAATGCACATTGGGCTTGGCAGAACCCCACAGTGGAGGCTGAATTTGAAAATCAAAGGGAGCTGCAGCCCAGGTTTGATCAGCAGAAATAACTTCTGAAGTGCAGGTTATGAAGGAACAGAGCTTTAATTAAACACCCAGAACACCAAGTCCAATTGAAGATCTTGGGAGTTGTCTGCTTCCTTCCATTTCACATCATTAAGGATTTTAATCTCCAATTAAGACACTGGCAGCATTATTTATAATTAAAAAAAATTCTCCAGTGTAGAATATCTCACTGCTCTCAAGTGTAAATTCTCTGAAGGAGGAAACATCACAAATGGGATGTTCTGTGCTTTAAGGGGCTTTTATTCTCATTTTGCACTGACCCTGTGCAAGCCAGGTGTGTCTGCATGGCCAGAATTGCCATTCCCCATCCAGCCCTGGCTGCTGCACCTCCTCCAGGAGGGGCATGGAACCAGAGCTGGGCTTTGCTGGAGCTTTTCTGCTGGAAAATTTGGTTTAAAATCTGAGCTGCCCCAATCCCTTCAGCTGTGGAGCAGCCCAGAGCATCCCCATTCTCCCCAAAACCACTGCAAGTCCTGCAGCTGCCAGATGTTTCAGCTTTCCTTTTCCAGAGTGTGATCCTTGGGGGAGGATCTTGATTTCTTTCACCAAACCCAAACTTTTTCTAGCACATATAAAATATTTGTGTCACCGCTGTAAATCTCATCTGAGTCCTGCTTAAAAACCCAGTCCTGCTTAAAAACCCAGTCCTATTTTAAAACCCAGTCCTGTTTTATAAACCCAGTTCTATTTTAAAACCCAGACCTGCTTTAAAACCCAGTCCTGTTTTAAAACCCAGCCCTTCTCACATGCCAGGAACCAGGGAGCTGCTGGTTCTCACAGCTTGGTTTGGGGTAGGTGTGGAGAAATCCTTCTCCTGGCCACTGGTTCCCGTGGTGGGATCAGGGTGGATGATCCCTCTTGCCATTTTTTCCTGGGAAGTTTGCCCTGTGGATTTTGTGTTTCCTGCACTGTTTGTCCTGTGGATTTTGTGTTTCCTGCACTGTTTGCCCTGTGGATTTTGTGTTTCCTGCACTGTTTGCCCTGTGGATTTTGTGTTTCCTGCACTGTGGGTGTTGTGTTCAGTCTGCAGAGCGTGGGAGCGGCTCGGGGTGCTCCTGGAGATCTGGGGGATGTTGCACCACTCGTCTCTCTGCTCGTTGTGTGGGGAATGAGGGTTCCAGATGGATTCCAAATGGATTCCAGATGGATTCCAGGATGGGTTGGGAGGGATCTTAAAGCCTACCCAGTGCCACCCCTGCCGTGGGCAGGGACAGCTCCCCTGTCCCAGGCTGCTCCATCCTTGCCTTGAACCCTTCTGGGGATGGGACAAAAGCACCATAAAAAGAGAAACGACCCCAAAGCCTCTCTAATCCCCTTTTCCCTTCACTCTCAGTTCGGTTTCCTGGCTGAGGGCAGGACCCTGGTGTTTTCCTGCTGCCAGGGTTTGTTTTCCATTCTCTTTGGCAGCGCAGCAGAAGGAAAAGATTCCAGCTCTTCCACTGGGTGTCAGCACGGCCCCACAGCGGGAGCCCTGGGCTTTCCCTTGGGCTGATCCAGCCTGGAAAAACCAGGCTGGCCGGAGCAGGGATGGAGCTGCTGGCCTGGAATCTCCTTCCTCCTCCCAGCAGGACAAGTGGTGGGAGCAGGAGTGCTGTGAACTGCCCCTGCAGTGCTGCTGATGGAGGGGACAGCGGGGACAGAGGGTCCCTGGTGCTGCTGATGGAGGTGACAGTGGGGACAGAGAGTCCCTGGTGCTGCTGATGGAGGTGACAGCAGGGACAGAGGGTCCCTGGTGCTTCAGGAGCAGCTGGCACAGCCGGGCAGGGGTTGCTCTGGAGGTGGGGATGGGAAGGGCAGCGTTCCCATCCCCAGGGAATTCCCATTCCAGGGGTGTCCGTGGACAGCTCAGGGCTGCTCCCCCTCCACACCCACCCTTCCACTCTTTTCCCCACTCTGAATAAATATCCAGGCTTCCCGAGTCCATCCCAAAATCCTCAGGGCTGCTGGGGCAAGGCACTTCCTGCAGCCCCTGCCTGTCACTGTTGGGGGGAGCAGCACCCCCGAGACCCCCGAGGTTTCAGGTGGGCAGAGGAATCCTTCTCCCAGGAAAGGGGACTCTGTGCCTCTCCCACCCTTCCTGTGGGTCCCCCTGTTCCATCCTGCTCTGCTCCGGGGTGTGCAGGATCTGGGGAGCCTCCAAATCCTCTGGCTGAAAATAGAGCCAGGCACCCCGAGGTTCCTCCAACAGATCCTTCCACTGGAGGCCTAAAAAAATCAAAAATCAAAGCTAGAGAATATCACAATTGCAGAGACTTTGTGATGCTCGTGGGGAATTGTTTTATGTGCTGCTGGAGCCGGCTGTGCTCCAATGCACGCTCAGAATTGAGTTGTTTATTCCTGCCCCCCTCCTTGAATGGCAGCAGTGGCCTCCTGGCTTGGACTCGGAGCATTTTCAGGTTCTGCAAGTCATGACAAACCTGCTCCCAAGGGTGCCCTGTAGGAAAACCAAGCTCCAGCATTCAAGTCCCAACCAGCCCCGGCGCTCCCACGGAGCTCCTGGGAGAGGAGCACGTGCAGAGATCCAGCCTTGGGATCCATGGAAAGCTCTCCCCACGTCCTGCCCTGCCCCTCGAGTGGGGCTGTGCCTCAGCCCAGGCTCTGCCATCACACCCTGCTTGTGCCACCCCTCCAGGGTGGGCATTGTGCCTATTTTTCCCTGTTCTCCATAAGGATTTACCTCAGCTTGGTGCCACTCCCTGCATCCCCCTCTTCCTCCTCCCTGCCCAACAAATCCCCGCATTTTCAGAAGCAAAATTTAATTCTTTTTATTGCCCTGAGCTCTGGGGAGTGTGAGTGACTGAGAGGAGCAGCTGGATTTGGGGTTTGCTGTTGTTCCCAGATTGTTTGCAGGGTCCCAGCTGAAAGCAGTGGGATGAAGGGATGAGGAAGGAGCAGGATGGATTTGCAGGCAGGGCTGTGGAGCAGCAATCAGTGTTAGTGGTGGTGACAAAGCAGATCCAGCTAAAAACTCTCCCAGCAAAAATTCCCAGGGAATTTGGGAACTTGGAAACCTGCAGCACTTGTGGTGGAATTAACAAAAGCCTCAAGCTCAAGGCTGGGACTGAGCTGGGAGCAGCAGCTCTGAGCTCACCCCACTGCTCATTCCCCTCTTTTCCCCCTTTTCCTGAGTTTTTGGGAAAGGTGGGATCATTCCCACGGTGCTGATTGTTTCTGGTTTATCCACCAGCAGCATCCAAACATTTCCAGGCTGGAGCTGCTCCAGCATCGATTTCCTGCAGCAGCAGAACTTTAGATCCCTGCTGCCAGCCCTGGATCATCCAGGGGCTGGATCATCCAGGGGCTGGATCATCCAGGGGCTGGATCATCCAGGGGCTGGATCACCCAGGGCTGGATCACCCAGGGGCTGGATCATCCAGGGGCTGGATCATCCAGGGGCTGGATCATCCAGGGGCTGGATCACCCAGGGCTGGATCATCCAGGGGCTGGATCTCCAGGAGCTGGAGGGGTGTTACAGTTGTAGGTGCTGTTGTTGAATTTTGAGTTATTCACCTCAAAATGTGCTTTATTTCCAAAGAAACAGTTCCAAGACACCTTTGAGCCTTTCTCCAGCTGCCAGCCAGGCTTTGCTGCTCCAGTTTGAGCTGGCTTGGCATAACTGGAGCAAACTGGGAGCTGTTTTCCAGAGAGAGCTGCTGGGATTTCCAGCAGATCCCCAGCCCCGCTTTAGCAGTGCTGATTTAATTACCTTTCACTCAGCAGGTGCTTCACAAGTCCTGGATCTAAAAGAGTAAATAAGACAGTCCAGAGTTTAATTATCCCACTGGAGCTGGAGTTTGGCAGGCAGCCCGGGCGGATCTGGGGATCTGCTGCATGGCAACCTCCTTACCTAAAGCCTGAGGAAAGAAAATGGGGCAAGGCCTGGAAAAATGGAGCTTTTCTGTGCAAGAGGGGCAGCTCCAGCTGTTTGCAGGTGTTTCAAGAGAGGATAAAGTGCAGGTGTGTGGCTGCAGGAACCTCACTGGAGGTTTCCTGTGGTTTTGCCTTTCCCTGGCAAAGTGCAGCTGGTGGGAATCCTCCTCTGCAGGGCTCAGGGTTCAGTGGGTGAATGAGAAAGAAATTCTCCCCTGGCAGGGTGGGAAAGGGCTGGGATGGAATTCCCAGAGCCCCTGGCTCCCTGGCAGTGTCCCAGGATGGGTTTGGAGCAGCCTGGGACAGTGGGAGGTGTCCCTGCCATGGCTGGGGGTGCCAGGGGAGGCTGCTCTGGGTCTGATCCTTTTGTGTGGTTTTAGGCTGAGTCAGACCCCAGGGAGAGTTGCAGCCCTGGCTGCAGCTGCTCTGGGCTTTGGGAATCTCTGTCAGCACCACCCTGCTGTGCCTTGTCACACCCAGGGGACCGAGGTTGTCACCACGTGTTCCTCCAGGGAGCCCCCTCCGAGCAGCAGAACCAGAAAATCCTGGGGTGCTTTGGAAAGGACCTCAAAGCCCACCCAGAGCCACCCCAGCCATGGCCAGGACACCTCCCACTGTCCCAGGCTGCTCCAAACCCATCCAGCCTGACCTGGCTCACCAACCACGTTTTGTTCTGGGTGCTGAATGGAAAAACTTCTTGAAAATGGATTTTTGGAGCATTTTGGAAGGAGGAGCTTCTGGGACACAAGAGATCCCAAAGGGAATTGAGGATGAGGGAGGCTCTCAGGGATCATTTCCTAGAAATCAGAGCCGTTCCCTCTCCGACTGATGGAGAAGAAGCAACTTCTTCTTCCTCTTCCCTACCCCAGAAAACCCTGCCCAGGGTTCAGAACCCCCAAGTTCTGCAGAATTCCGACACCTCCAGTTTAAATCTGGAGAGTTTTGTCAAGTCCAGGCTGCCCTGTGAGAAATCCCATGGCTGCAGCAGCTCGGATCCGTTGCCAGGAACTGGGAAGAAAAACAGATTTATTGGGAGCTGACCTAGTTGTTGTAAATCTCCCTGTAGAAGAGATTTAGTAATCTTAGGAGGGCTATTAAAGCTCGTGTTTGTTTGGAGATGGGCAAATGCAGCAATTTAATTTTCAAATCTTATGGTTTGGGTTGTTTTGGTTCGTTTTTTTCCAAACATCTCATTAATTAACAAAGCTAAGCAGCTGGGAAAATAAGCACTGGAACTTTCCTAAGGAGGTCAATCCATGTAGGGTGGGAAGGGATCCAGAGAATCCAACAGCTCCAGTGGCAAAAGGGGGTTTGGGGCTGGGGCAGGCAAGGCTGAGCGTGGCCTTTCCCCAGTTAAATGAGAGGATAATGGTTTCTCTTTTAATTTTTTTAACCCTTTTAACTTTTTTAACCCTTAAAAAAAGGGTTTTTAACCCTTAAAAAAACCCCAAAAAATTACTAAAATTACAGAAATCAGCAGCTCCTGAACTGTCCTCTCAGAGCTGCAGTCGTTACTGGATAAAAAATGAGTTCCTTTGGGTTGGGTTTGGAATATTGTGAGGGGAAACTGCAGGGACTGGACTGGGAGTTTGGGCTCAGTTTGTCGTGGATCTGTGCTCTCGATATCCCAGAGATGATGGGTTTGAACCCAGCAGCTCTGGCTGTGCCTGCTGGAGTTCCCTGCTTGGAAGATTCATTTTTCATCCAGAGGGGCTCCAGGAGGGCTGGAGAGGGGCTGGGGACAAGGGATGGAGGGGACAGGACACAGGGAATGGCTGTGAGGTGAGATTGGGAAGGTTTAGGTGGATCTTGGCCAGGAATTGTTCCCTGGAATAGAATTCCCAGAGCAGCTGGGGCTGGCAGTGTGTGATCCCTGGCAGTGCCCAAGGCCAGGCTGGATGGGTTTGGAGCATCCATGGATCTGCAGGAGAGGATTCTCTTGCTGTTTATTCCAGTAAATCAGTTTTTAGTGACAGCAGCCCTAGGAGGGAATGTCCCTTCTGTGCCTGGACAGGCGTTTTCTGTCTCTTGGGAATTGCTCTGCCCAGAGCTTTTCCAAGGAATATCCCCTGGAAGCGAGGGCTCAGAGCAGGATAACGCTGCTCCCAGCTGGCTGGGCTGGCAGGAGCACCAGCTGGAAATCATCCCTGCTGCCAGGCTGGCTGAGGGAAACCTGAGTCCTGCAGGAGCTGCTCGGAAAGGTCATGGAGCTGCCTTGGCTCAGGGCAGGGGCAGGAGGGATCTGCAGGCAGCAGGGTCCTGCTGGAGACTGGGACACAGCTCAGGGACAGGGCTGGGCTCTTGGGCTCCCTGCAGACCTGAATCATTGGGAATCCCACACTGGGTTGGGTTGGGAAAGAGAAAATCCCACCCCAGCCATGGCAGGGACACCTCTCACTGTCCCAGGCTGCTCCAAACCTTGGACACTGAGGACTCAGCCAGGGATGCTGGGATCAGCCTGTGCCAGGGATTTTATCTCTCCCCACAAAGGGTTTCTAGCCCTGGCCCAGCTGCCCAGGGCAGTGACAAGTCCCCATCCCTGGAGAGGTTTAAAATCCCTGGGGATGTGGCACTTGGGGACGTGGGGCAGGGGTGGCCTTGGCAGCGCTGGGAATGGTTGGACTCCATGGTCTCAAAAAAACTTTTCCAACCTCAATATTGTGTGATTCCATCCCGGTTTCCTCCTTGCCTTCACTCCCTGGTGGGCTCAGGACCTTGTTCCCTTCCTTGGGGCAGCTCACAGGGAAGTTGTGGCTTTCCAGCATCCTCTGGGATCCCTGGAATCCCAGGGGAAGCTGGAGATGGGGGGCATCAAGTGGCCAAAGCTGGTCCACAAGCCCAGAAACCTGCAGCTCCAACCTTTTAGCTTCTCGGTCCTGTTGGATATAATAATAGCAATAATAATAATAATAATAATAATAATAATAATAATAATAATAATAATTTAAAAAAACCCTTTTTGCAGTGTGTAGTGGCCACCTCTGTGTAAAAGCAGTTCAGGGTGCTGTGCTGCCCTCTGGAATAACAACCCCCTGTCTTTCCAAGCAGAACTTCCCTGCTCCACTGAAAATGTCTGGCAAAACAACCACCACGACCAACAACATCGCCCAGGCCCGCAGGACCGTGCAGCAGCTCAGGATAGAGGCCTCCATCGAGAGGATAAAGGTGAGGGCACAGCCTCCTTCCCCCTCCTTGTCCTTGTTTTTCCCCTCCTGGCTGTAGGACAGTGAGATAACGGAGTGTTTGTGTGTGTTTTGTGTCTCTGTGCACACACAGCTCAGCGCTTCCCCCTCTCAAAGCTCAACAAATCCAAATAAATCCACTTCTTGTGGCCCAGTATCCCAGCCAACCCTGCCCTCTGGCAGAGGGAAGCAGTTGCCCCTTGTCCTGTCACTCCAGGAGAGATAAAAATTCCTCTGGAATTATTTTGAAGCCCCTCCTGTTGGTTTCCTGTAGGAGCCAGGTGGAGCCTTTGCCTGGGGTGGGCTCCATCCTTTCCTTCATTCCCCGTGGATCAAAGCAGCAGGCAGATCCCTGGGGAACGAGTCCATCTCCCAGCACCTCTCCCATCCCACCTGGCTCCCTCCCAGCCCTCAGCATTTTCACCCCATTTCCATGGAAAACCCCCTTTGATGCCCATTTTCCCCCTGGTGCCTCAGGTGTCCAAGGCCTCGGCAGACCTCATGCTGTACTGTGAGGAGCACGCCAAGAAGGACCCTCTGCTGATGGGGATTCCAGCTTCTGAGAACCCTTTCAAGGACAAGAAAACCTGCATTTTGTTATAGGAGAGGGGCAGCTCCTCCTGGCCAGCCCCTGCAGCCCAGCGGGGCCGGGCCGAGCGCCGCCGCTCCTCCAGGTACCTGCACCCCGACCCCGTCCACACCATTCCCTCAGCTTCCCGAGGCATTCCTGCTCATCCCTGTCTCTGTCAGGAGCTTTCTGACTGAATCCCTGCCTTTCCTGGCCCAGGGAATGGGCTCCAGGGTCTCTCTGCATGGAGGGGTCCTGGTGGCAATTTGCCAACTCCATCACGACCAAAGTTGCCTGAGCTTTGCAGAAAAAGCAAAGTTGTAGAGATGGAATCACTGGGTTTACATTTTATAAAATTATGGATTTTTTTGGTTTTTTTGGGGGGTGTGGGGGGGTTGTGCCTGTGCTGGCAGCACCTGTTTGTGCCCAGACAGGCTTAAAGTGCATTTTCTAGCCAAAACTACCTTGCAAAATGGTTGTAGCAGCTGCTGGGGAGCTCCAGGGAGCTGTGCCTCAGCCTTCCTCCCGCTGGCCTCTCTTCCCAGGGCTTTGAAAGGATAAGAGTTGGGAATCAGAGGTGCTTTCCTTGCTTTCCAAGAGTTGAAAAAGCAGAATTTCCACCTTGGATTCTGTTGCATTTTCTTCTTGAATAAAAAAAACCTGTGTTGTTATAAAACACACCATGGAAGAAATGCCAGAACAGGAGGCTGGAAGTGCCCTGGAAGAGCTGGAGGAACGCTGCCCTCACTCCCAACCCCAGCTGGGTTCTGTGCAGGGAGGCAGAACTTGTTTTTATAAAAAAAAAAAAATCATTTTTAAACAGGAAAAATGCCAAATTATCTCCAGCTTGTGGTTATGCATTTATAATTGGAGGGCCTATCCATCTAGTATATATTTTATATATACACATAATAAAAAAGTCTTTCTGTGTGTGTGTGGAGATATATAAATCTTCTATATTAACAGTAAATTTTGAAGGGTTCAGAAATATCCTGACTTCAGCTGGCTGCAAATGTCCTTCTGTGCAGGCAGCTGAAGTGATCTGCCATAACCCTGCATTTCTGGGAGGATATTTGCAGAATTTATGAACCACTTGTCATTTACATTTACGTATTTGTCATTTCTGTATGAAATTATAGACCCACTTTTGATAAAGATTAAAAAAAGAATTAAAAAAAATGAACTTTGCTTAACAAATCTCTTTTGGCAGAGCTCCAAAAATCAGCCTGATAGAGAAACCTGCTGCTTATCCCGTGCTTGTTGTGCAAATTATTTTTGTAATCAGGATATTTTTCTAGTGGCAGTGGAGAAAACCAACAATGTGGCTCTGCCCTGATTGTTTTTCTGCTGTGTCTGTGTCTGTCACACTCCTGGAGAGAATTAATGAGCTCTGTTAATTGCTCAGTGCAGGGCTGAGAGGAGGGAAGGACCCTCGTGCTGTTGATTGTTGTTTTTCCAGGAATCTGGGAAGAAGCTGGAATTTTTATTTGGTTTGAGCTCCCTGTTCCCAGCCCAGCAGGGATGTTCTTGGTGTCTGCCCTTAAATAAAGCTTGTGGTGCTGATCCTGGGTGGAGATCCAGCACCACTGCCCAAATCTGACAGCATTTTAATCCAGAGACTTTTGGTAAACTCATCATTTTTAAAATACAAAATACAATTTAATTTTTTTTAAATACAGTGGTTATGTTTGCACTTCACTTTTTGCCATCAATACCCCCAGAAAGAACAGGGATTGTAAAACTTGGGGGAAATCCAAACTCAGAAAAAATTCTGAGAATTTTTCACAGAAAAAATTCACAGAATTTTATACAAAAGGAGAAGTGAGAGCACTGCACCCACAGGTGCTGGGAGAAGCCCACGGTGAGATCCCATCACTGCACTGCCCCTCTTGTCCTTGGCCAAGCTGCTTTGGGGAGAAAAATGAGAATTTGTGTGCAGGGCCAGGTGCCCCCCACTGTGTGGTGTGGGGACAGGGCTGGGGGTGACACTGGGAGAGACCAGAGGGGTCTGGGTTGAATCTGAGCTTGGAGAAATAAATCTGGTGCTGCTGCCGTGTCCCTGGGCACAGGGTGGGAGCTGCCTGGGCTGGGGACAGGGATAGGGACAGGGTGACCTCGTTGGGACCTGCCTGTGCTGGCCCTGGGCTGGACACAGGGACAAGGTGGCCTCAGAGGGACAGTGTCACCTCTTTGGGACCTGCCTGGGCTGAGCCCTGAGCTGGACACAGGGACAGGGACAGGGTGGCCTCGTGCTGGAGCATCCCAGGAGTGGGAGAACAGGTCCAGCCTCTCCTCCCAGCGGGGCTGGGGACAGAGTGACCCCGTGCCACTGTCCCCAGAGCCCTGGGCCAGTGCCGGCAGCAGCCCGGGCAGTGCCAGCAGCAGCAGAGGGTGTGGATGTTCCTGTCCCAGGATGTCACCTGTGCCACCTGGCTTTGTCACCAAAGAGGAGCCTGGCACTGGGAGCTGGGGGTGCAAACAAATCCCAGGCTTTGCAAGGAAACACTGATTTTCCTCCTCCAGGGAATCACCTTTCCCTGCCAAAGAGGAGCTACAGGAGCGTGGAAACCTCGGCAGCAAAACCCCTTTTTTTTCCTTTTTTTAAGCTCCAGTTGTGGCAGCATTCAAGTCAAATAAATAAATAACAAACATTCCCAATATTTCCTGCAGCACCTCGGCTGCTTTGGCATTTAATTGCTTGGGAGGGGCCAGGAATGAACCCACACTGGAGCTGCACAACAGGACCTTGCCCGTGGCCAGGACAAGGAAGCAGCTGCTGCTCAGCCCTTGTGCCTGTGCACTCCTGGAGTAAGGAAATTAAAGCCTGGGACAAAGGTTTGATTTTAAACTTTATTTCAAAAAAAAAAAAAAAGAAAGCACAAAACAAGAACACCAGAACCCCAAAAAACACTCAAATTTCAAACAATTATATTAATGGTGCTGCTTTTGCAGCCAAGTGGGAGATTTGTGGTTGCAGACCAACTGCACGAGGGCACTTCGGTTCTCAGACCTCCAAGTATAAATAATTTTTCCATCAATATCAGAAAATAACTTATTATTATTATATATCTTAGCATAAAAACGTGAGAATTAACATCCCAAAAATACAACAGCATTGCTGGCAAAAGGCCTCGATTAACCTTGTTTGCTCGTTAAGGTGTTTAAAGCAGGAACTTTAAGTGGCACTTAAGGACAGAAAGAGTGAGGAGGATTCTCCTGAGGTCGGGCTGGGCTCATCCCTTGTTTTCATCCCGACTCCCACGCTCTGCATCGCTCCACTGCAGCCAAACCTCCCCCCCACGACATCAGTTTTATTATTTCATATCTATTTTTTTTTTTTTTTTTTAAAAGTTGTTATTGTGTTTTATTTTCCCTCCCTCCCCCGGGGGAATCCTGGAGCCGGGGCAGGGAGTTCCTTCCTGAGCAACTGGCAAAGCCTGGCAGCGGGGCCGGGCTGGGGGTCACCGCTCCGGGAGGTTGATCACCGGCACCCACTGGTCCAGGTACCGGCTCTCCCGGCAGAAACACATCAGCTGGCTCAGCGCTGGATCCTTCCACTGCGACGCCTGCGGGTTCTGGAAAAGAGACGGCAGAAAAAAAAAAGCTTCAGCACGGCAGCAAAAACAAGCCGAGCGTGGAACGAGGTGGGGGGAGGAAAAAGCACAGCAGAAAGCCCAGGAGTGTGAATCATCTTAAATTGCTGGCGAGGCGAACAAACAAGTCAGGCCTGGAAGCGCGTGAGGAGTTTAGCTTTGGACTTTGGGGCAGAGTAGGGAAGGGGGGAAAAAAAATAAATAAGAGGGAGAGATAAAAGGGTGGAAGGGAAAAAAAGGGGGGGGGAAGAGGAAAAATAAAGAGAGAAGGGGAAAGGAGGAAAACTAAGTAAAGAAAGAGCAGAACAAGGGGAGAAAGAGGGTGAAAACAAAGGAGAAGGGTGGGGAAATCACAGCGGAACGAGGGGACAAGGCAGCCCCGCAGTTCCCGGGACTGCGGCCGCGGGTTCGAGCCCCGGGCACGGCGGTTCGGGGAGCCCCGGGAGCGGCGGGGTGACCCCCCGGGAGCGGCGGGGTGACCCCCCGGGAGCGGCGGGGT